AAATCTGGTGCTCGATTTCGCCAAATCTGGTGCTAGAATTCGTCAAATCTGGTGCTCGATTTCGCCTAATCTGGTGCTCAATTTCTCTGGCTGGTGCTCGATTTCGCAAAGCCCAGTGGTCGGGCTGGTGCCAGAGCGGGCAAAGCGGAGACACACGCGCGCAAAAATTGTGCTCTGCCTGAATCTTCCAACGACTGAAAATTTTCATGAGTTCTCGTGCTTGACCCTATATCACTACTTTTTTGGAGCCTCAACTGAAACAACCAGAACACCTACTTTTGGTGCATAATGGATCAAAAGGGTGTATCTCGCTGATATTTTGGCTTTTGGGGGCATGGGAGCCCGCGCAAGCGGGCGTTCTGGGTGGGGCATCTTTCAACTCATAGCATCAGCGCCATCAATCCGGAACGCGTCCAATCCTTGGATTGCACTGGCAAACGCATGGTATGCAAAACTATGTCGATGGCTACCACTGCAAAACTTCAATTAAGTGCACGATTACAGAGTGAGTGGCAGTTTCCTGTAGCAAAAACTGTCTAGATCCTATTTGAGTCCAAGCAGCTGCCCGGAGTCGACAGATCAAATGGCCCCACACCAGGCGGCATGCATACCTGGCTTCAGCGACGGGCCATCTTAAGACTGTGATTAGGTGAGTGGTCCGCATCGCTCTTAGGGCACATATATGATTTGCTAGTCCCTGAGTCCAATGGGGATGAATTTGGGTCGCTCTGCCATCTGCACCTGTAGCTTTCTCGTGAAAACCATTGGCAAAAAGGAGCTGGGGAAAGATGTACGCAGCTTCGATGTGCAGCCCAGACATACTCCCTATGTCGAGGCTGGAGTAGCTGTCCGACCTTCAGAGTTATATCACAACCTAGCGGAGGGTAGTTGGTTCTCGAGTATGTCCTGACACAGTGAGGGGATTGATGTCTCTTGCAGTCTCCTGCTCTGGAAAGGGTCATGTTTTCGGTCTGTAATTCTTGCTTCTCTTGCAATCATGTTAGGGGATGTTAGGGGCAAGGCATTACGACAAGCCTTTGGGTTTGAGTTGGCTAATGCGAAACAAAATGCATTTGAGCTGTCCCACCTGTGAAAATGGCTCCTGGCTCTTGGCGAGTGGGATGCCGAATTGCCAGCTTTACGACCTTGTGGGATCCACGCTGTTGGGAACTATATGTCTGGCTGATCTTGAGAACGGCTCCTTTCTTTTATTTTTCTCTCTCTCAAGTTGTTTGTTCACAGAGGCCGCAATTGCGACAACTCACTGGTTCAGCGTACGCACTCGCCAGCCGCCTCCGACGTCACAGGTCAGGTGGAGCTGTTGGGCCTGAGCGGTTTGGGTCACCATAGCAGAAGTATGCAGAAGTAACAGGCTGAAAGGTCAATTACCTGATGTTTGTACAATTTTGACACTTTTCCAGTGAATTGCCGCACCCAAAATTACCCGCAAAACTCCCGCAAAAACCCGCTAAACGCCCGCAAAAAACCGCAAACACCCGCAAATCCTGAAAAGTGATAAAATCAGGTAATTTCCTGTGTTTTACCTTCCCGTGGTTATTGCAACTTTGGAGCGCCAAATGGAGCATCTTCAGGGATCTGACGTCGCAACGGAATAAACGTTTGATTTCAGGCTGTTGGCCAACCCCAGCTTAGAAGCAAGAAATGGATTGCGGACCCCTTCCTCCAATTACCTCAGTTCTGCTATGTTCTGCTGGCCTGGCAATGATTGGGGTTATTGCGCACTCCTTCCACACACAAGGAATGATGGCTTTGCTGCAAGTGTGACCAGTTTGGCTGCTGGAAAAGTTGTGGGTGGGAGGGGCCTTTTCAGAGCTCTGATGGCTTTGATGCAAAGCTTGACAGGCCTAATTGCAACCCATTCCTGGAGTCTTGTGCAGCTTCGCAAAAGCACTACCTGTCTGGTCAATGCTGAATTTTGACATTTCCCAACATCTTTGGACCCAAAGGAGAATACAGCAGTTGGCCCCTGCTTCGAGGTGGAACTCCGGCTTGAGAGCTCCGAAAGCATATACGTATATATATATATAACATTTTCTGAGACGCCAACTCTATGAACCCCTCACAAAAGGTTTTTACAAATCTTTGAGATTCCAACTGCTGAATCCCTCTCCGCCAAAGTCCGGACGCATGTAATACAGAAGAAAAGGTTGACGTCTGGTTTTCAAACATAAAAGGGGGTTGGGGTCTGCGTTCTAGACCTTCTACGACGAGGCCTGCATTCCTAGAATTCAACAGCGCTTGGTTGTCCAAACGGGTAATGCAAATGCCTTGTGTGTCTATGCCAACACTTGCATGTGTTATGGGTTTGCCAATGCTGCGCCTGCTTTGACAAAAATGTCCTGGAGGCTTGGAGTTGTTTCACTGTTACTGTTTGCAGCTTCGTGCTGGAGTCATGAAAATTTCATTGGATGGGATGGGAAGCAAGATCGGATGGGTAGCTCAGTCCCTTGGGTTGTACAGAAGATCCATGAAGATCCCAGGGGGCTACACATGCCATTTCCGTCTAGCCATTCTATACAGACAGCATAGCTGCACTAAACCTTGGCTCCCCGGCGTTCTTCGCTGCAAAGAAGAGTGAGCAGGATATAGCAGGATGTGCGCATCATCGTGGGCAGTGTGGGGGATTGATTTGGGAAGTTTGGGTCATGTGTGGGCACATGTTTTCAAAACACCTAGTTTTGGCACAAAACAACTAGAACACCTAGTTCCCCACGCAAACACCCAATTAACCAAAACTCCTAAAAATTTCAAGGTGTTTGAATCTTCAGGTGGCTGGTGCTAGAATTCGTCAAATCTGGTGCTAGAATTCGTCAAATCTGGTGCTCGATTTCGCCAATTTTGGTGCTAGACTTCGTCTAATCTGGTGCTCGAATTCGGCAAATCTGGTGCTCGAATTCGTCAAATCTGATGCTCGAATTCGTCAAATCACCCCACCATGACCTTTGACAGTGGTGGACAAGCAAGACAAGCATTCACCATCTTATATTATTTGCAAGGCCCACACACATACACACCTTACAGAAGGGCACTGGGTATGGGGCAGGGGATGGGTGAAGTGAGGTATGATTCTGATCATGGTGAGATCTAAACTTTTCCATCTGGGTCAACCCCAGCAATTCATTGACCAAAATGTCCCAAAACCAAGAGCCATTTCCAGCAATTCGCTGGTGCTCGTTTTCATGAACACACTTAATAAAAATCCCTTGTTGAACTGTTACTGGGACTCAGCCCCATCTAACCCATAGATATGTGTTGATTGCAGCTGCAGAGAGTTTGTGCTAGCGCTCCGGGTTGGAGCACTGAAATCTCTGGGAGGCTTTTACTCCAAGCACTGCGAAACCCAGACCATCCATGTATGGCCGTATGGCCTATATAACTACATGGGAACGGCGCCACCGGGCGCCTGGTCTTGTTGGCAGTCATAACTACATTGGCGTAGGTTTTGGTCTTGCGTTGGCAAGACCTTGTCGCGCCACCCGTGTGAACTATACAGGTCGATCGAGGACGGTCGTTTTGTTTTGGAAAGAAAGGGTCAACAAAGAATACCTAGGGCTCCAACCACCTCCTGAGAAGATGGTTGGGGTGGGTTCCAGGGGGGTCTAACCGTTGGAGCTTTAGGGAATACACTCTCTCCAACAAACATGGAAGTGGACAACCCCCTCCTAGTAGAGGAAACATCGTCCACTTCGGGGTCATTGGGTCCACTTCCATGATTGGAGGCTGCGTAATTATAGGATTGGCCCATAATAGAAGGTCGCCTCCATGTCGGAGACCTGTAGCCCCAGACCCCCCAAAAAATCGGCTGTGGGACTGGGATTCGGGACTTTACGACGAATTGGTTGGTTCCCTGAAAAAAGCGGGGGGGGGGGTCCCATTCATTCTCATTTGGTTGGGGGTTTTGGGAAAAGATGTTTAAAGCTCATGCAAGACACAACTGAATGGGACAACATGCATAGGAAGATTGACAGGTTTGCAAACAAATGCGAGAAGGAAGAAGCAGAAGGCCAATGGTCCTAATCGATTTTGCTGGTTTATTTACAGGAGGGTCAAGTTGCAGTGTTGGGCTGGGAGATCAAAGGGTTTAGCTATTCCAACTCTGAGAACCTATTCCCAAATCCCCCAAACACCATCCAGCACCAGGTGTTCATGAGCTCCAAACCTCGTAAACCCAGTGGTGCCACCTGAAAAAATCACAACAAACAAACCAGAACAACACCTCGTTCTTTGGTCTTCCATTGACCAGGCCCCCCCCCAACAAAAAAGAAACAAACAGACAAACACGAACCACACTATAACAGCACCACCCGTCCCAAACCCACTCGCCGACCAGGTCGCCCCTCCGCCGGGCCGCCCGCTTCCCGGCGAAAACCCTCGGCAGCGGCGCTACGTGGCGTCCTGACGCGACCGGCGTCGCCCCAAAGAAGGGCGCCGTCATCGTCGGAGCGGACGTGAGGTGCATGCTGGAGTCTGAGCCTGAATCCCAGGCTCACAACTTGTTAATGTCCCCTTTTTGAGAGGTGCAAAGCCAGTCAACAAGCGTATTCAATTATCGTACTTTTTGACATTTATTTGAGAGCTCTTTAATTAAAGATGCTGCGTGTACGTAGGACGTGTATATTTGGGCCTAGTGGTGCTGAGTGGTACCGGTAGCTTGCAGTAGCTGTTGACTCTTTGACCCCAGTCGTGGATAGCGGATATCCTGCCCAACCTTGTTGGGATTTGGGACCCCCCACAACACAACAAACAAGTTGAAAGGGTTATATAACTGTACTATTTAATAACATTATATTTTCCAAAATGAGCGCTCTTTCTGCATGCACCTTTTGCCAGCTACTCAGCTGTGACCGGGTTGTGTGGGTCCAGGATGAAACGATGGCTTGATTTTCATGCGGCAATGCCGCTTGGCAACCCATGCGCAAGCTGAACGAACTTGGAGCCTACCGTATGTAATTCTGAACAGTTTCATACTGTGGGGTTTCGAGCGCTCTTGGGCCTTCGATTGAACATACCGGGCACCCGGGCACCCTGTACAAAGCAACCTTTGCAACGGCACAAGCCCGACGGGTCTGTGGCGCACAGAACGCGCGCCATTCCAAAAACCGTAAAGAGGTCCAGCACGACCAGGAGCCTTCCATGAGTGAGAAACCCCAAGAACAACAACACAGAACATCCATGGGACTGGCATGTTTAGCTACATTGGGGTAGTTTAAGGGGTTCAATGCAGGTATGACATGGAGTGTTTGGGAATACTGTATTGAGAAAGCACTCCGCCACGGTACCAATGCCCAAACATCGAATGTTTAGCTAACAAAAGGAAGAAAACGCCAGTCAGCATGTGTTTTTTCTGTCGCTCAACGGCATGGTGTTCGCAATTTCCGAAGAGACATGGGGGGGACATGTCCTTTCTTGGAATTGATTCGATGGAGTAGGACGAGCAGAGTGTTCAAAATTGCAACACATGTTTAGTTCATACATTAAGTATGACTCGAGTTCACTCTTGAATTGCAAAAAACATATATGTAAGAGGTGTGTCAATCCATGGGGAGGGCGTTGATTCCTCAAGAGTCTACATACCCTAGGGATCCAAGTACCTTCTCAAAAGGTACTTGGACCCTCCTGGCACCTACATAACAGTGTCTCCAATCACCGTACCTGAGAAGGTACTTGGATCCCTAGGGAATATCCTATAGTTATTTCCTGTAAATTTATAGATATAGAAATTAGATCCCTAGGGAATATCCTATTAGATATATTTTTATTAATTTCATGACATGTTTCGGAGTTCCAGGATCGTTTGTTCCATCGACCCGCTGCAGGATGCCCAGCTGGAAGACTTTGAGCGACGACCCACCTGGGACGAGTACAACTCCCGTGGTGGCGACGCTGTGGCTGAACTGCGACTGGACGGTGGGGTGGACGCGAGAACGAAAGAATCCATGGCTTTCGCGGGTTGTTGTGTCCATGTTGTTGAAAACATCCAGTTTTCAAACCACCAAGATGGCCTGACATGTACAGGTCAGGCCCTGCCATCCTTTTTCGAGTCATGACTTCACTCGTTGAGTGAAGGCTGTTTAGGTCAAGTCGGACCTTTTTCGTTGACCGCGAAACGTGATGTTTGGAGGGTGTGAAGCTCAGAGATGTTTGGAGGGGAGGGTTCTATTGCGTCACTTCTCGCTGTTTGGGGTGGAGGACTGGAACAGAGACCCGTTTGGGCTCCGTTCTCGGACCTTCGTTTCGTGTCGGTGGGACTGGGGTGGGTGCCAGGTTCGGGTCCAGTCATACCTTCGTTTCGGAGGTACGGCTGGAGCCCTAGGGAGAGGTAAATCATACCCAAACGCGAGGGACTGGGACTGCCATGTCAGACTGCCGATCCATTGGGGTGCCAGGGGTCTTTCTGGGGCAGTCCTATTCCACTCCCAGACTGGTCGTGTTTGGGAGTCGTGCTGTGGGGCTGGTGTTTTTTTCCAAAAACACACCGTTTGCACCTCGACTCGACTTTCTGGACGAAAGCGTCACCCACCGTCCAGTCACCTTCGACGCGGAAACACCGTTCTGCTCAGCTGGGCTGGCCATGGCGGACGCGTCACTCGACCAAGGAGAAGCTCATCGACTATGGCTGCCCAGGCGCCCAAACACCTGGCCCTCAACCGGCCGGTGAAGAGCCGGTGGAGGGAGTTGGATACGAGGGAGCCTGTTGGCGCCCACACCAGGATGATGCGAAAGAGAGTTCCTGGACCCGACATGACCCAGTACCTTAGAACATGGATGAACATGGCACGTCTGACCCCATGTCCAACCAGCTACGACGACTGGGGCCCCATGTTCCGAGGTACGAACTGGGGCCCCCTCTCCAGGTTGATACGTTGATACAAGATTCTGGGGGTCATCCTTGTTCGAACATGTTTTTTCACCAGCCAATCCAAGAAGTCGTTATGTTTCAAGGGGAGCTGTTGGTGTTTCGCTGTCCATCCCCTAGAGTCTGCCTGCAGGGTCAATCCAGTTCGGACCGTCAAGAGTACAATACCAGACGATCAAGCAGCTGAGCAAGATCCAAGTCCAATAACTGAACGAATTCTATCGAATTCTACAAACGTCTAAACTTGTGTCTGCCAGACCCCTTTGGCATCTTGAAGAAAAAAAGCAAAAAAACAATCACAAAATGCAACCAGAAAAACAAAAGCAATCACAAAAGCACAAAAAGAGCAAAAAAAGGCAACCCCAGAATGCAACCAGAAAAACAATAGCAATCATAAAAGTAAAACACAAAAGCAAACAAAATTGGAAGCAAAAATGGACCAACTCAGCCGGGCTTTCTGGCGCACTTTTGAGGGAGGGTCCACGTTTTCTGGCGCACTTTTGAGGGAGGGTCCACTTTCTGGTGCACTTCTGGGGGAGGGTCCACTTTCTGGTGCACTTTCGGTCGCTTTTTTTTTTAAGAACGACAAAAAAATTGAAAAACGAACGACCAAAAAACGCGACCCAAAAGTGCGACTTTTGACCCGGCACCAGAAAAGACACTTGTCCAGTACTAACCCTACCCGGACAAAATACCCTTTGTGTGTTGTTTGTGTTTTTTTTTTGGTTGCTTGTTTATTGTGTTTTTTCTTTCTTGGTTGCTTTTTGTTTTGCTTGTGCTTTTTTGGTTGCACTTTTGGTTGCTTTTGTTTTGCTTTCTTGGTTGCTCTTTGTTTTGCTGGTTTGCTTTTTTTTTTTGGGGGGGGGTTTTCTTTCAAGTTTCTTGACTTCTAGAATAAAGCCACCTCTGGTGGACACAAGTCTGAACAGTGTCGATCATCACACACTTGACAGGTAGCCCTCCAAATCCGCTACACCCTCGCCCGGTTTGGTAGAAAACGCCGGGGCCACCACTCATGGCTCGCAATGTCTTGCTGCCGCCTTGGGCAAGGTGGAGGGCAAAATGCCACCATCGTCTACCACAACCCTTTTAACAACGGTCACTTGGGCGAGAGAGCGCCGCGACCGGTCTTGGCTGGTCTTATTTGTCTGACAAAGGACACTTGTTTGGGACAAAAGAGCCAGGTGAAGAGTACAGAAGATGGGGTTAATAATGTTGCGGATTCTACAGTAGGGCTTCAACCACCTCTTGTACTATATGTGCTTTGTTGCTTGGTGTGGGACTGGATTGATGTCGTGGCTTTACAATGAGCAATCGTGATCGGTCACATCATATACTAGTGTTGGTGATGGTCAATCCAGGGAACCTTTCCCAGGCCGATATTTTGTTTGGTTCGTCCCCGAGTGCCTGTGGGAAGAGCGTTACCATCTCCCTGTAGATGGTCACCAGAAAAGCCGTGGGCCGTAGTCGGTTTATGATTATAGTGGATTGAGAGTAGATGGCACAAACCCCAAGAGGTGGTTTATATGGAACCCCATCTAAAGGACATCATGGGGTTTGTGCCATCTACTCTGAAACCACTGTAATTGAGCCAGAATCCAGAAGCAATCAGAAAGAACCAGAAGACCAGAAGCATCTAAAAATAAATATACCTAGCGCTTCCAATGGGTGACCTATAAGCAGTGTGGGGTTGTCCATTGGTATCCCTTTGGAAGCAGCTGGTATAAAATATTATATGGCATCAGCTGCAGTGTCACGCTCCTGGGAATTCTTCGCGAGGGGGGCGAACCCCTCGGTGGCACCGCCGTTTCATCGAGGCAACCCACAACAGTTGTCTCCACGGGTGGAAGATTTCCTGCAGAAGAGCGGCATCCGAAGGGTGGCCCGGCTGGAGTCGACACGGATTTGGGGCCCTAGGGCTCCAACCACCTCCTGAGAAAATGGTTGTGGTGGGTTTAGGGGGTCTAACCACCGAACCTGAGGATATGGTTGGAGCCCTAGGGGAGTTTCACCACCCTTTTGGGCTCCGTTTTCGTACCTGCTCAGGTTCGGTATGACTGGACCATTTTGGGACCCTCCTGGCACCTGGGTTCTGGTGTTGGGTTTCTGGGTGACCGGGTGTGAAATGGCCAGAGGTTGGCAGGAACTGGGAGGGTGAGGCTTTTGCAAGCTTTGCACGTTGCCAAGTATACAAGGGTCCAGATACTAGTAATAGTAGCACCTGTGAATCTAACACTTTTTGGCAGATGCTCCAGGAGGAGCATTCATTCTCATAGCCTATTCATGATCACGGACTCTTGCTACTGACAATGTTGCGAACAAATGTGGTTCAATGGCATCTCCAGATCCCCTTGACATTGCCTCAAAACTCAAAACACAGGGCTGCTGATAGATCTTGTACAGGGGAGGATGAGCTGAAATAAGCTGGAAGGCTACGACGTGGGAGGCAATGATTACCCAGCCCCAACGCCCACATACACACACAAGTGCTTCGCATGCAACGGCTGGTGGTCAGCTGAGCTTTTTTGGGGGCATGTCCATGCATTTCCGGGGAGCTGTTGGGAGTGGCCAACTTGAGCCGCAGCCTGGCGAAGATCGAGCAGCAAACAGGAGCCAATGTTGTGAGCGCGGCATTGGTCACGAAAGGAACTAGATTGGTACGATGACAAGTGAAACTGCTGTACTAGATGTGTCGAACACAAGAGCTCGCAGAAAGGATCTAAATGTGATATTTGTGACATGCATCATTCATCCTCTACAGAAGCCACTCACAAGCATTTGCAGAGAGCACTGCAGCGTTTTGAATTTGCAAAGGAATACAATAGATGGACTCCTTCCTGCGAATGGATAGAGATACAACTGAGCCTCTCAGCACTCGTCGCCAAAGGAATTCAATTCTTCGCCCCTTGAGCCAGATGGGTCAGTCCTATTAAAACATGTAACAGTCGGTAAACGTAGTTATCACTATATGTTAATCTATTTTAGAACAAGGCCTTTACTAACCATCCTCATCCACTGTTGCTGGTAATGGGATACACGCCCAACATATTTTTGTCATCACCTCCCATGAACCAAAACCACCCTTGGAGGCAACTTTTCCTTCCAGCCCCGCACGACGTAGCGCGCATTGCTGATTTCGCACGCGATGGGCAGTAGCAGCTCGGGCGCAAGGGCAGAGCCGCAGGTGGTGAATGAAGAGAGTTTTAAGGTGACTTGTGCCGCTCGGCAGAGTCTGGGAGCGCCTGGGAGCTGGCAGAGGTTGGTGCAGCAGAAGAGAGAGAGAGAGAGAGAGTGTTGTACAAATGCGCCAAGAGCGGCTTCTCACACTCAAACGATGGAACGATGGAGCATGATAGAACATACTAGAGTAGTAGACTGGTATATAGGTAGGTAGCATTCTCATTGCTTGTTTGATTGAATAAGGAATAAGGATACGTTTAACAGGCGGAAGGTGCTTCAAGTGTGGCCCTCATTCCTGTTAGATGGGCAGCTTGAATCCCATCTACGGCTTCAGGTTGGGCATTCCCTGGTCAACGACACCTATGAGTATGACTTCTTCGTCCAGCCTCCAGCCAGCACAGGCGCGAGCTTCTGATCGCGAACAAGTGGAAATTCAGTAGTGCCGCTTTGTTGAGCTCCTTGTCAACTTGCTGCACCAGGGAATCCTCACATGGGCACACCTGTTCAAATATGTTCTGAACACATTTATTGGGTGTAGTGTAGTTGGCTAATGTGTTTTGAGGATGTGTATATATTGACTTTGCCCATCTATAGGGCAGCACAGGGCAACTTGAACTCGAACATTAACTTCCCTATGGCCCTATGACGACATTTGGGGATCTCAAGCTATACCTGCACCCTACAGATCGTACCTTAGAAAATGGGACATGACTGACATGACCCATCACGACGGACCCTATACAGGTGCAACTGTACCCATTTGTTCCTGAGGTGTGGCTGCACCGAACGCTTGTCCTTCTCTTCGCTGCAGGCGCTCCGGGGCAAACGGTCCGCCGCAGCTTCAAGGAGCTCCAACGCTTGGGCCACGCCATGAGCGCACGCTGGCCGCGCGCGAGCCTCCGGACGCCTTCCAGGCCCTTTTTTGAGGTGCCTGGAGAGCAAGGAGAAGTGATGGAGAGCGACTTGGCATTTTTAAAGATAGACTTCCATGGGATGCCCACTGAACCAAGTCGAGGCTGGAAGAAGCTCTGGAAATTGCTTGGAAACAGCGAAATGTCGTGGGACGGTTTGGTGTGGTTCTTGCTTGGACACATGAAGCGGGAATATATAACATTTTCATGCAGGCACATCGGGGGCAGCGTCCAAAGGTTTCCTTACCTGCAAGCTTACTCACTTGACATCATTTGACCTAGGTCTCTACATGTCTATCCATACATACTATAGCCATTTATAGCCCTACAAGCCATGGAACTGCACTCTTAAAGGTCTATATGCACATTGACTCCTCGAACCAGCTAGGTTTGTCATGCACATCTTATTGGTCCATTTTTACATGATTCCCGGCAACTGGGAACTCCAAACCGATCCCCCGCCCCAGCAAACCCCAGCCTCCTCCAACATGTCTTCTCCGCACCCCGCGTCTCTTCTCAGCGCTGCCTTCCTTCAGGATCCCTTCGTGCCATGCTGAGCCTGGAGCCCTTTCCGCGCTCCACGGCGCTGCGGCACTTCTTGGGGATCGCCATGCCGCCGCCCGCGGACCTGTCCGATGGACACGTCGCTGGACACTGGCGGCTCGGAGCTGAGATGAGGCGGTCCGCGTACGGCCGCGGTGGACCGGCTCGTTTCGGGCGGCGTTGGTCTGTTGAGGAGGAGGTTTTTGGGGTGGACGGGTTGGTTTGGAGGCCGAAAGTTCGTGGCATGGCATGCTCAATCTTTTGGGTGAAGCAGCTGCGCTTTTAAGGATTGCCGGATGAGCCATTATTGAATCATTTTGATGTGGATTTCTTCTGCAGATGATGCACCCATGTCACATGGGCCATTCGTGTGTCTATAACTGTTATTCCCTATGGATCCACTGCCACCTTCTCAGAAGGTAATTGGACCCTCCTGGCGCCTACATAAATAGTCTCCAATCATCTGACAAGGTATGTGGATCCATAGGGATTCACTTGTACAACCCGCTCCTGCTATGCAAGCGCCTGCCTGCTCCAGCGTCCCACGCAGGTTGCCCTTGGGCGCGGCGGCCACCGTCATGAGCTTCTGCGAGGCCCACGTGGCGCTGAAGGTCTGCACGCGCGTGTGCAAGGCGCTGCAGGCGGCCGTGCTACACCCCACCTCATGGCCCAGGCGACGCCGAACGAACGCCCGCCCGGTCAACGCGTGGGAAGGAATGGACGACCAAAAAGCGGCCACGTGCATGCATCGCCTGCGACACGTTTTCGTGTGGTGTTTCCTCCTTTAAGACAATAAGATTGACAAGATGCCAATAAACTCTCCACTGAGGAAGTCAGGAAGGGAGTTGTAGGGTGAGATCAACTCACCAGCCTGTGGTGTATAGTGACAAGCTCGGTTCTTCAGGAGGCTCACCGTCGGACCCGTGGGTCTCCTCATCCGTCCGGAGGCTCACCGTCTCCTCGCGCGTGGCGGAACGATGCATTGACAGTTTGTGCCGAATCTTGTGGAGGACCTGTGCTGCTTGGTGCATTTCTTTGGTGTGTGTGTGTGTGCTGCGTGTGCGCGTTGCTTTGTTTTAATGGCGAAAGGGGAGCCGAAGATCTTGGAAAAGTGGAAGCAGGAAGGAGTGACCGGAAGGTTGAGGATGAAGGAGGCCAACCTGAGTCGAGGGGCTTGCAAGAATCTGAGCCACTTGCAGAAAATCCCGAGTTTGAGATCTTATCTTCCCCTCCAAGGTTGGTTCAATTTTCCCCTCCAAGGTTGGTTCAAT